GGACCAATGGATGTTCAATGTGAATGGATTTTACCAACAACAATAACTGAATTGAGTGCACTTAAAGAAAATATTACTAATTTAAATCAATTACAACAATTAAAAGAATTAACATTCTCATCTATTCCACAATGTTCATTAGAACAATTAACTACATTAGAATTATATGAACCACATGACTTTGATGGAATTGAAAAATTAAAATGTCAAGAGATTCATATTTTTTATTATAGAGGACAAGAATTAAATCTTGATAAATCCACTGCAAAGAAAGTCATTATTAGAGACTGTTTTTCTCATTCATTACATCTTGGAAATCAAGTAGAACGATTAGAAATCAGTAGTAGTGAGTTTAAAAACATTGAATGTCCAGAATCATTAAAAGATTTAGTGTTAAACAATCTTGATAATTTAGAAGAAATCAAATTCAATAAGTCTTTAAAAACATTCCAATGTATGCGATGTATGAAGCTTACTAAAATAGAATTACCAATAACTGTTGAATCTATCAAAATGATGAGAAGTGAACAAAAACACATTTTGAATTTAGACTATTTTAAACAACACAACATAATCAATTGATTAATATATTCTTTTTATTGTTTTTTTTACATTAACATGGAATAAAATACTTACAACTTTTTAACTTTTCATAAAATGTTGTGTGACACTGACATAATAGTGCTATTTTTTATTAACACCAATTACTAATAAATAGAATATTCTATAACCTCGACATTCAATAATACCTTCAATAGCTTCCTGCTCAATTTGTTTCATTCAAATTTTCCTATTTTTCCGTTGTTTTTTTGTTTTTGTACGTCTTTTTCTTCTACAAAAATTAATAAATAACGTTTTCATTGAAAATTTTATGCTTAGAAATATATTTTTTGTAGATTTTCATTCTTTTTTCAATATTGTTCATTAAAAAAACTATCAACTTATGATTTGGTCAAGATAATTACCAATAAACACCTATTTCAAATAAGTATAGATGGGTATTAAAAAAGTCCAAAAATAATTCTATGATAAAATACAAAACTTTTTATTTGATAGAACAAATAAGTTATAAAGAACAATTCTTTTATGAAAAATAATTTTTTAAAAACAGAGAATTAAGTGTTTTTAGGTTGTAAAAAAGAAAGGATTATAATATTAACTCAACAAGAAAACAACTAAAGTCTTATATTATTGATTAGCACTAAATTAGTTAAACAAAACTTTATTAAACAAAGTTTTTGTTTCCGTCTTTAGATTAATGAAACATTAACTTTTTATTTCAAAAGTGATTGTTTCATATGAAAATTAACTCCAAGCAATAAAAAGAGTAATTTTTTCTTTTTATTTTTTAAATACCTTAGTGATTAACTTTTTTTAATAATTTACATAATTTATTCAAATCAAAGAATATTATACATTGTTTATCATAATTTAAAGGTGATGTTTTGTCAATTGTTTTGAGTGAAATAGGTTTAGAATAAAAATTAAGAGTTTCAATAAAAATAGAATAAACGGAAGTTATGAATATACTTTATTATAGACTTAATACTCATATTATAATTTTCTTTTTTTAGATATGCTTCTAGACATATATTCATTGGAGAAGTCAAAACTATTTATGAAAATGATATTCTTTTTAAATGAGTAATAAGTCAGTCAATATGCATTTCTTAAAAAAATATTATTACAGTTTGTTTTTGTTTCAAGACTATTTTGTTCTTTATCTTACTTGAATTATAGTCGTGGTTTATTCATTATAAACAACACAAACTATTATAAAATAATTAAAAAGATACTTTGTTAAAAATAATAACAACAGCTTAACCTAATGTTATATCAAAGAGAATTTAATTGAATTGTATTTTATTGGAATAGGATTAATTTATGGAAAACGATTGTAGTCCAAATTAAGAAAGAATCAGTTATGGTTTATACATAAAAATCTTATTATAATGTTTTTTTTTTGTTGTCATGTTCTGGTTTGTTTTTGGATCCTGGTTTGTTTTTTTAACAACTTTTACAAATTTAAATTTGATTTAATAACCAAAAAAAAATATAGAAGAATGTAGTATTACAATCTTATGAAGTGTTAATTTTTTTTTGAAGAAGGAAAAGTTTATCATTTCATCTTTAGTTTTAGAATATTTAGTTTCATGCTGATTTGAATAGTAAAAGACTTTATCTTTTATTGTATTATTTAATATTCTATTTATAGTCGGTACAAAAATAGAATGATTCAGTAGAATGTTCATATCTAACGACTGGAAAAAAAGAAGTTTTATACTAAAATTTAAATCTTATAATATCATATTCTTTATAATTCATTAATGTTATTAATTGATATATTATTGATTGTCAACTATGTTATTGGTAAGGAATATGATTGTATTACAACTAATTCAGACTGTATTGTTGAATTTAACAGTCAGACTCGAAAAACGCAATTCCAATGTAAGGAGTTTGATAAAATAAAAAACTACTCATATCTTTTTAAACATGATTATACTTTTTCAACAAATGTCATAAGTTGTAAAAGTATGACTTTCGAGGGTAGTTTATCTATAATAAATACAGGAAATTATTGGATAAATGTGTCTACTGTAGAGTTTTTAGAAAACTCTCAAATTGAATTTCATGCTAATTTAGAATCAAACACTGAATTTATTTTTGGGGCTAATTCAAAGGTGATGTGGTATGGCAGTCTTTCATTTCAACAACTAGTTAAATTTAAAACAACTCCATCATTAAATCAACCTCAATTAATTATTTGGAATAGTAATTGGATACATCTTTACAAAACAACTACAACACCAACATATAAAGGATTTGAAATTATAAATCCAGGTGGTAATAAACAATGTTTTGATGTGATGTCATTTAATAATAACAATGCACTTGATTTTGATAAAAAATCAGATAATCATTATTTACCAAAAGACTTTGATAAAGGACTTAGTATGAGATTTGGTAAAGCATATTTACTATCAAACAAGAAATTAATGAGATTTTGTCCAAATGGAATTAAATTGAATAAAACTGTTATTTGTACACTAAATGATATGACTTATTCACCATCATCATATTCAGGAAGAGGTGATTATATATTTAATTATCCACATTGTCCATGTGATGATAATAGAACTGAATGTATTCTTAATATTCAATCAAGTTTAGAATCAGTAAATTTTAACATAGTTAATATCAGCAATACAATTCTTCATATTGACCATGAAATTACATTATTTAACTTTGAGTATGCTAAACAAATTAGTGTTGATGATAATGTTCTATTAAAAATAGGTTCACTTACATTAATCAACGAGTACAAACAAATGATAAAATTTAATAATTTTGAAATTACGAATATTAGAAAACCAAGTATTAGATCACAATTTAAATACAATTCAGAAACAAATACATTAGAAATTGATGGAAGTAACCACATAAAACATTTATCAAATCCATCAAATACACCATTCAATTTAATTATAAATGGTAATCTCACTTGTAATTCTTTTGTTAGTGATTGTATTTATTATTTCACTGCTTCTTCTACACCAACAACACTAACTATTAAAGGTAAAGGTAATAATAATATTATGACAATTGATGAAAATATAATACTAATTGATCCATTTCCAAATTGTATTATTTTAACTGGTAAATCAAATGAAGAATTTAAATGTATTAAATGTAAAAATGGATATTCTCTTAATTCAAACAATAAATGTCAAAAAAATTCACGTTGTATTAAATTAAATAATCAAAACCATTGTATTGAATGTGCATATGGATATTATCTTAATTCAATACAAGTATGTACTAAAAATCCGAGTGGATGTAAAATTGGAAATGAAACACATTGTTATCAATGTGGAGAAGGATATGTCAATGAAAATGGAGAATGTCAAGAAATGAATAATTGTAAGAAGTCAGAAAGGAATTATTGTTTAAAATGTTCAAATGGATATAAAATAGAAAATAATACATGTGTTAAAGATAAAGAAAAAGAATGTTATTATGAAGGAAATGAATGTGTTTCATGTTCAAATGAATATACATTAAATAATGGAAAATGTGGAAGTAAAGAAAATAAAAATGGAAAGAATGAAGAAATATATTGTGAAAATGGAAAATACATCAAGGATAATACATGTATAGAATGTACAGAATCAGCAATATGTAATTCAGATGGTATTAAATTAAAATGTAAAAATAACCAACAATTAGATAATAATACATGTATAAATAAAACATGTGAAGAAGGAAAGATAAAAGATCAAAATGGAAAATGTAATTCCAATATTTCAAATTGTTCAAATGAGTTATATGTTAATGGAAAATGTGTTGAATGTTTAACAACATATTCACCTGATTCAAAAGGAGAATGTATTAATACAACAATAGAAAATTGTGAAGAACAAAATACATATGGATGTAAACGATGTTCAGATGGATATTATTTAACAACAAATATGAAATGTTCAAAATGTGATGATAATTGTACAACATGTTATGGTTCATCTACATATTGTATGAGTTGTTCTAGTGATAAATATTTAAGTAGTAATAGAACATGTCAATCAAATAACGAATTAAATGGAACATGTTTACAATTATTAGCAGATGGAAGTGGGTGTGGAATATGTAAGAAAGGATATTATAGAAATGGGAAAGGATGTTCAGAATGTGAAGAAAAATGTGCAACATGTAATCAAAAAGATAAATGTATAACATGTGCAGATGGATATTTCATGAGTTGGATAGGAGAATGTAAACTAACAACAGAAATTAAAGGATGTAAAGGAGAAATAGATAAAGAATATGGATGTAGAGAATGTTCAGAAGGATATTATTTAATAAATAAAGAATGTTCAAAATGTAAAGAGAATTGTACAAGATGTTCAATAAAGAATGAATGTAATAGTTGTAGAGATGAATATATATTAAAAAATAAAGAATGTATTTACTATTTAGATATTAATAAATGTAAAGAAGTAAAGAATAATAAATGTTGGAAATGTTCATTTTGGTATGGAACGAATGAAGAAGGAAATGAATGTAATAAAGAAGTAGTATGGTGGATGATAATGATAATTGTCATTATTATAGTTATTATCATTATTATAACAATTGTAATGATAATAATGATGGTTAATTACATAATGAAGAGAAAAGAAAAGAAAGAACGAGAGAAAACAACAACAATATTCAAAATAACACAATCAAATATTAGATTCATATCACTTGGAGATGGAATATTAACAAATAAGAAAGAAATTGAACTTCAAGAAGGAGAAGAAATTAAAGTGAATGAAGAAATACGAGAATTAATTTGTATTGGAAATGATAAAAAAGAGAAGATGAAGATACAAATAAGTAGTAAAGAAGAAAATGAGAAATATTCAATTAGAACAAACCCAAATGTCATTACAATTGAAGGAGGATATGCATGTGAATTTGAATTATTCATTACAATCAAATGTACAACTAAAATCAAAGATAAAATAATGATAATTAGTAAAACACTTAATAAAGCACAAGAAGAAACAATCAAAAGTATTTCTATTGAAGGAGAAACAGAAATATCAACACGACTTGATCCTGATGAAATAAAAGAAGAAAAGAAAATAGGAGAAGGATCATTTGGAATTGTTTATGTTGGAGAATTTAGAGGAAATAAAGTAGCAATTAAGAAAATGAAACAAGTTGAAGAAAGTGAAGATAAAAAGAAAGAATTTGAGAAAGAAGTAGCAATGTTAGATAAATTTCGAGATGAATATATTATTCATTTTTATGGAGCAGTATTTATTCCTAATAAAATATGTATGGTAACGGAATATGCAAAATATGGGTCAATACAAGATATAATGAATAAAAGAAACATCACAGAAATATCAAAGAAAATACGAATCAAATTTATGATAGATGGAGCAAAAGGAATTTCATATCTTCATTCAAATGGAATATTACATCGAGATATTAAACCAGATAATTTCCTTGTTGTATCACTTGATGATAACATTGAAGTTAATTGTAAATTAACTGATTTTGGAAGTGCAAGAAATATTAATATGATGATGACAAATATGACATTCACAAAAGGAATAGGAACACCAAAATACATGGCACCAGAAGTATTAAATCGAGAACATTACAAAATGCAATCAGATATATATTCATTTTCAATAACAATGTTACAAATCATTACATGGCAAGATCCATTTCCTAAAACATTATATCCACATCCATGGCTAATAGCAGACACAATCACAACAGGTAAACGACCAAACATAATACAAGAAGTAGAAGAAGATATAAAAGAAATTATTGAAAAGTCATGGCAACAAGAACCAAAAGAAAGAATAACGATAGATGAAATTGTAAGAATGCTAGAAAAAATTCAGAATAGTAAGAACTAACATTAATTATCCACGAATTGTTATTTATTTGAAAAATTATTTAATGGATTATCATTGATAATTGTGTTTTTGTTGTTTTGTTCATAGTCTAATAAAAAGAATAAATTTACTGATGGATATTAACAGATGCCAATGTTAGTGATATTAGTTTATTATAGATTTAATTATTGAAAATATCATTTCAATTAAAGTTTTTAAAGAAAGAATTAATAAAAAAAAAATTAAATAATTTGTTGTTAATTTTTCTAAATGTACTTTATATAAATAATAGAAGAAGAGTTTATCCAAATACTTGTCGTAATAACCAGGAATTTTTGTTTGTTCTAGTAAAGAAATATTGTAATATCTTCTAATCTCTCAGAAATAACATTATTTAAAATACAACTACAAATAATATGAATTAAGTATGTTATGTTTAACGAATTAAAAAAAGTATTATTTATTCTAATGAATATTATATTATGTTTATATTATAATATTGTTTTATTAACTATATTTATCAAACTACATTATGAAAAGAATGTATTATTTATATAATACTATTATATTTAATCAAAGCTCTGTTTTTATAATAGAATTACAATCACTTATATTTATAAAAAAACACAGAATATTCATTCTTTGTAAATGTTAGTAATAACAGAGATAATTCATGTTATATTTTATAGACATAACAAACATATCAAAAAGAAAGTTGATACATTTAATAGCATCTCTATTGTCTTGCTAAAAACATAAAACAAAAATCTTAATTTTGAAAATGTTATTGTATTTGTGTAATATAATATGATAGTCTTTTATCATTAATGTTTTGTTTAAAGACAGTAAGAATGAAAATTTCACAAATATATGTTTTTTAATAAAATGGAATATTTCTTTAAAAAATATTATACAAAACCAATCAACACAAAAATTATATTTGTGAAAATTTTCTTCTTACAAAGAATAATTTGTTTCACACATCTTGTTTTTGAAATGACATATTTTATTTCTATTAAAAATTAAGAAATATTATTTCAAAGCAAAGTTTGAGAGTTAAAAAGGTGATTTAAAACAAAAAATATTTAAAAGAACAGAATAAATGGTGATTTTATTTCTTAAAAACAATTCTTGTTTTTTTTTAATTTATTTCAACTTCAAAGAATTAGAAGAGTATCAACGTTTTCAGTTAACACAAATTAAATAAAAAAACAGGAATGTTTGTTCAAAGAGAAAAATATATATTATGAATATGTACAATGAAATTACCAATATTTTAAATAAGTTCAAGTAATAAAACAGAAATAAAAACAATAAATAAATACAATGACATAAAATAATCAAACTATTATTTTTATAATTAGTTCTTCCCTAATTGGTTGCAAGTTAATTTGTTTCAGTTATACTGCTATGGAAAAAGGAGAATCTCCTTAAAAGAAAAATTATTTATTCAAACAGAAAATAAAAAAGGCTAAGTTAGGCAACATAAAAAAAACTAAAAATGATCAAAAAACATAAAAAAGAATGGCACAACGAGGTAAATTAATGGTTCCTATCACATCATTTATCCCTGATATTGACCAATTAATTGTGGATATATTCAATTCAAGATATAATAAACCAAGTATAATTCCAGCAACTACAATATAGTTTGTAGGTCAGCAGAAAAACAAAATAAAGTACTAATTAAGTAGTTATTTGTGTCAACAGATTAGAACAATATTGTTAAGTAGTTGTTCACACTTATTACTAGAAGGACCGATAATAGTAGTTGGGGATATTCATGGACAGTTATATGACTTACTCAGAATATTCCTTCGAGAAGGATATCCTGGTGAAATAAATTATTTATTTCTTGGAGACTATGTTGATAGAGGAAAATATGGAGTTGAAGTGTTATGTTTATTGTATGCATTAAAGATAAAATATCCAGATAATATTCATTTTATTAGAGGGAATCATGAATGTGCTTATATGAATCGGTTATTTGGATTTCAAAATGAGTGCTTAATAAAATATGGAGACTTGTTGGTTTGGAATGCATTTGTTTCTACATTTAATGTTTATCCATTTTCTGCCGTTATTAACAAGAAAATGTTATGTGTACATGGTGGGTTATCACCATATCTTCAAAGAATTGATCAATTAAAACGAATTAGTAGACCAACTGATATTCCATGGGATGGAATGTTATGTGATTTAGTTTGGAGTGATTTTAATAGTACAACTTCAGGATTTGTTGAGAATGTTAAACGAGGAATATCAGTTGTATTTGGTAAGAAAACATTAGAAACTTTTCTTGAAGAGAATAATTTGACAACACTAATTCGAGGACATTCATTTGTCAATGGAATTGACATCAAAATGCCGTGTATTTCTATATTTTCTGCATCATTTTATCAAGGAAAATTCATGAATAGTTGTGGAGTATTAAAAATTGATGAAAAGAGTTTAATTGACATTCACCTCTTCAATGACATTACTCATAAAGAAATCACAAAAAAACTAAAAAAAGATAAGAAAGAAAAATTAAAACGCAAGTCATTAAAACTTAATCTTCCGAATAATACTACTGAAACAGTTGTTATAAAACAAACAAGTGAAGTCCAATCCTCAGCTACTTCTCAAAGCGAAAACTCAGCACTAAAATCAAATAAAAATAGAAATAAGAAAATAGTTGTTGTGAGGAATTATGAACTAAGTAAACTAGATGAATCAACTGACTCAAATGATACTTCTAGTCAGCACAATTTTTAAAACAAAACAATAAAAAACAGTTGTGGTTAATTCTCTTTTAACATCTCATCACCAATTAATTAAACAAACTACTTAATAAAGTGTTCAAATACTTTAATATTTCAATTATTCAAAATTACTTGTTATTGATATTTGATGTTATTATTTCAAAATATTGTTTAGTAATTTATTTGATTTAATTACTTGTTTTTTCCTTGTATTATGGTGTTATCCTAAATTATTAGAATTGTTTTTGTTGATAAAATCTATTTCCATAATCTCTTCTTTAAAGTCATTCTTGGTTAGTTGTTTATGTATAAAACAAAAAGATTTATTTTGTTTTATTGAGCAACAATAAAAATTCAACATTTCTTCTTTTCTTAATCACCTGTAGTTATTGAATAATATCAATCTATGAATAAGTAAAGTTACTCTTTATTATTTTATGGACAACAAAAAATAAGATAGTAGAAAATTTCTATTAACACTTAATTAATTGTTTATTTATTTAATTATTTGATTTTATTGTAATTTAATAAGAAACAATATTTATGAATATCAATAACTAAATGGTTCATTTCTATTAATATTTAATAATTCATTTTATACATCACTCTATCTTGTTTTTTTTTCATATTTCATAACTACTCTAACTCATGGAATTGATATTTAGTTTAAATATTAAATATTTCATTTTTAAATGAATTTTAAATGATTTAAACAATAATATTGTATTAAATTATTATTTTCTATTATTTATATAGATAAAAGATAACATTAATAATCATTTGATGAATGAATATTATCACACAAATATTTTAATAGAATATGTTTACATTTATGTCAAATATATTGATAATAGCTTTTTTTTAATGACTTTGAATTATATCAACCCATAAATTTGTCTCATCCAATGTTTTTAATTCAATTTATTAATATCAATGAAATAAAGGAATTAAATAATTTAATCAAAGATATTATCCATCAACTTTTACTATTCAAAAAGAAGAATGTTTTTTTTTGAAAATGAATTATTATTCATTTAGTTTCAACTGATTTATGACTCAAAACAAAACAATAAATAAAAAGACAAGAAAATGTGTTTCAATTTAATAAAGAGGCAGTTATAGAATTTATTTATTCAACAAAATATGATAAAATTAAAGAATAATTCCCAACACATCAATAAAACATTAAAATACATCAAAAATAGTGTGATAATAAATTTTATCAATTGTTTTATTTAACAAATGAAATTTTCAAAATAAAATGAAATTTATATAGAACTAAAAAAATAAAACTTAAAAAAAAAGAGAAAAAACAAAAAGAAATGAAGATGATAATAATATTAATAAGTTTTTATATAAGTTATGGATATGAATTAAATATGTATTTATTACCACACGTATTACCAGAATGGAAAACTGATCAAACAAAAATATGGAAAAATTGGAAATATATATTAGACTTTCATGAAATATTTATGAAAGAAATAACAATGGTTTATCATATTCCAGACTTTTATTTAAATCAAAAAGTTAATATAGACACAATTTCAACTACATTTTATGATTTAATGTCACCATATAATATGACATTCTTAACACCAACATCAAATATTGAAGATATTAAAACATTATTATTACCTTATTTAAATCATGATATAACAGCACCAAAAAGAGGAATAGGATTATTATTTCAAAAAACTTCTTCAGGAAAATGTTTAGGAACAGCAACTAAAGAAGATATTCAAAAATTAAAAAGTATTGATGATGAATTTAAAACATATGAAAATTATTTAGGAATGGATATAATGGACGCATCTGTTTTACAACAATTTGATATTTCTAATGATTTTAGTTCTGAATTCCCTGATATTAGAGCAATTCATTTTAATTATTTTAATACTTTTGAAACTTCTTCAACTGATGATGCTATTGAATTAGCTAAAAAATTCCATTCATCAATATCTATTGATATTTCAGATATTGAAACACAATTCTTTGTTTCTTGTCCTGCTTTTAAAAAGATTTTAGAAACTATAATCCAAAATGGTGTTAATTACAAATTTATGGTCAATAGATCAATATGGGTGCAAAATATTGGTGCATTTTTATCATTTTATAACACTGCTCAGAAATGTCTTGATAATTTAATTTAACTTTTGTCTATTCTTCTTTTTTTCTTTTATATAAATAAAATATGAAAAATAAAACAAAACAATATTCTTAAAGAAGAATGAGTTTAGAGTGAAAACTCAAGGAATTCTTCAAGTGTGATATATCCATCACCATTAGCATCAGCTTTCATAACTTGTTCAGCAACCTTTTCAATACCATGCTTTTTAAAGAATGAAGTAACTTCTTCTTTAGTTAATTTTCCATCTCCATCAACATCCATAAGTTTATAGAGTACTTTCAATCCAATCTTATCATCAGAAAGATCTTGTCCTTGAATTGATCCATAGAATTTAGCAAATTCATTTTGATCAATTTCTCCATTTCCATCAGCATCAATAGATTTGAAAATTAATTGAAGAAGTTGTTCATTCTTAATTGCTCTCTTCTTTGAAACAAAAGCTTTAACTTCTTCATAAGAGACAGCTCCATCTCCATTAACATCAATTTCTTTAAAAAGTGCTTCAGCCATTAGTTTATGATTAATGTTTAGAACAGATTCAACAACACTTTAAATATCTCCGATAATTTCTTTTTTTCTCTAGAAGCTTCTTATTTAAAAAAAAAAGTAATACTTCTCCTCTGTTTTAAGTATTTTTTATGAAATCCCTCTTTCAATTATAATAAATATTAATTTAAATTATAGTTTTATATAATAAATATTTTTAGAAAAACGGTAGTCTGCTGTTTTACATTATTAGTTTTTAAAGTTCTTTTGACGTTCAATTAAAAATAAAAATATTAAAATATTATTAAAAAAAGAGAATTAATAATTTAGAGATGCATTGATGCTTGTAAAATGATATCTTGTTCTTTTTCAGTTAAATTTGATCTACCGATATTAAATTTAAGTAAAGTATCAAAATCCAATTTAGAAATTTTTGCTCTAAATTGAAGCCGAGTTTGAGGAACACTTGAATTTTCACCTTCTTCAGTTGTTAAACAATTTTGTTTTGTATCTTCAGAGAATGAAGAAATAAGTAAAGAATTTTGAGCAATTTCAGCAATGTCAGAAGCAGTTAATTTAAATATTTTAATTGCAGAAGCATATTCTTCAACAAGAGGTTCTTTAGTAGTGTGAGTATGCATAGGTGAATCAGTAGCTAAAGTAACAAGCATTCCACGCATAAAATATTTATAAAAAGGATGTTCAATAATATCATATAAAAATTTATCATAAATTGGACAACAAGAAATACCAATTTGAGCAAGAATAAATAAATATTGTAATGTATTTTGTTTATCTAATGTAATACCATGAGAAATAGCATCAGCAGTTAAAAATGCAGCAGCATTATGCATTGGATCTCCAGTTTCACCACAATGAGGTTTAAAATCAAAAGTATTCATTTGTAATGTTCTTCTTAAATTATTTAATACATGGACATTAGTATAAACATAATAAATCCAATAAGCAAATGGAGGTTCTTTATATGAATCCCATTTTGCTGGAACAGGTAATGAGGATAATGATATTTTTCCTTCAAATTCAGATTCATCTCCTTTACAATCAAATGCACCAACATTTTCAAGAAAAGTAACAAGTTCAGGGTGTTTTTCTGGATTTAATGTTGCATCAAATAATGGTTCAAACATATGACGTAATAATTCTTCAAAAGTATTAACATTTCCTTCTTTTTTAATCATTGCATATTTTCTAGGTAATTGAATGCTAAAATTATTTTTTTCAGGACAAATTAATCCATTTTTAACAATAACTTTAGCAATATCTTCAATTTCATTCATTCTTCTACCATAAAGACACATATGCATTTCAGTTTTTTGATTAGGTTGTTCTTCAACTTGATCAAATCTTGTTTTCTTTAAGAATTCACAAAAATAAGTACCACCCACACTGTTAGTAGTTGTTAAAAATAAGTCTCTTAATTCTTTTACATTAAAAATAGTATTTCTTGAATCCCATAAATCATACCTTTGAATTAATGATGGATCAAATGTTACTGACAAATTGTCTAATGAAAAGTCTTTAATTTGATAAATAGAAAATGCATTTCTTAATGTAACATGTTTATAAACTCTTGTACCTGACTCAGTTTTTATTGATATTTCAGGAAATACAACTCTATCTCCATCTTCTTTTAATTTATCCCAAATTAGCATAAGAAGATCTCTAGGATGAAATGACCTAGAAGCAGCAACAACAGTATCAACTTTAGTACTTCTTTCAAAGTCAATAGGTAATTTTTTAATTTCTTGACTTTCTAATGAGTTATTAAGAATTTTATGAAGAATAAAGAGTTGTTCTCGAGAATGTAATTGTTTATAACAAAAAGTTCTTGAAGGACCATCAGTACTAAATCTAACAAGGTCATTATAATCATTAATATATTCTGAAAATTCAATAATTGGATAATATGATAAATGTTTAGTTCTTCTAATAGAATGATATTGGTCTTTATGAGCTTCTTTAAAACAATGTTTACAATAATTTTTTCTACAATCAAAACAATAAACAAAAGCATTATGATAATGATCAATATCACAAATTGCATCAGGAGTATTATAAATATTATAAATTCCATTAGACATAGCACAAAATAATTGAGGAGTTGTAGGATTATTTAATTGAATAGAATCATTCATAACTTGAGGTAAATTTTCTGCAAAATATTTTTCTCTAACTAACATCCAATAAGTAATTTTTTTCATAACATCAATTTCTTTTGGATCTTTTGTTTTATAATTTAAATCAATAGTTGTTGCAGGAATATCACCAAAAATTTTATTTGAGTTATCAGTAATTAAAGCTTTAATAATAGCAAATTCAGTATCAAGTAATCTATTTCTAAATAATGATCTTCCATTTATCAGAACATCATTTTT